CTGTAGGAGGAAGAAAGAGAAAATGTTTTACAGTGGGTCACTTGTATCACAATATAGCAAGGAGATGTCTAATTTTTTAAATTTAATTTTCAGATTAAATCTTCAGTTACATCTCAGTTTTTCACAGTAACGTTAAATTAAATTGCCATACAAAAGTTTTACTGATGGATTACATTTTTGTCTAACATAGATTGTTTTGACCTCAGAACACTTACAAAATTGGATTTTTTTAATGCTTCAACAAAAAAGGAAAAGTGACTATTCATGGTAGTGTTTTTTGTTTTTGTTTTTCAAATTTAGCTATTTCCAACATGAAGTTGGCCCATTGTTCATTGCTTGGTATTATTCTGGGCTTTGGGATTCACTGTTTTCTTTCTAAAGCAGCTCTGACTTCTGAGTTGGCTCCAGGACGGTCTCTGCAGCCTGTATGATTGAGAGCCACATGCTCCAGATGATCTGTCATCTATTGGTTGCATTTAACATGGCTTTTATTGAGGATGTGCGTGATTCTCTGTTCTTTGGATCTGATCCCTGACCCTCTTGGTTGCTTAAAAGAAAGCTAAGTGGTTGTTTTTCCCTTCATAGGAATTATCAATACCTTGCTGAAGGAGTGAAAGGTCCTGACTATTCTTAAACAGGCAACTTCAAGAATTCAGTTTATGCTAAATAAACAGAACGTTTCTAATCTTTGGGAGGGGATTAAGCAGCAAGGAACCTTCTGCATCTACTAGACTTAAAATAGTAGCATATGTATAGCACGCCCATCAATCTCTTAAATTGTTGCTTGTTATTCAGCATCTTGGGGTTCTGTGTATAGATTTGGAAAAGTGATGACAGTATTTTTGAGAAGGGGTGTGTATGTGGGTTTATTTTCTTCAGTGAAATTCCAAGCGATAATCATTTTGTTAGCTATTGTAGAGATTACTTTTAACTAACAGACTACTAAATGGTATGTAACTGAATATTGAGTACATTTTACCTAGAGAGAGCTTTGGGATTTTCCCGTCCTGTAGATGTGTCTTTTGAAGATGGGATTTGTTTGGAATTGGCAACAGGGATAATACAAAACAAATAATTCAGCTTAGTAACAATGATCGTTTGGATAATGTTGGCTTTTCCACAGTGAGTTGCAGATATTTTTCCTTTGAACATTAATTTTTATGTTGTCCAGAAAATTAGCAATGGGGGAAGAGGTTAAACTTGATCAGTCTTTTTAGATCTGGTGAAAGTTAGATTTCATGATGATACAAGCCTGTGGGCAGTCAGCTATTTAAAGTGCCAAGTACTGTAATTGTATTTTTTGGCAGAATTGAAACACTGACATTTCTCCTGGCTTGCCCATATTTATTTACTTAGCCTGTTGCATCAGGGAGGACCTTTTATGCTGGCCTGCTGTTTCCTTAATCCATCTGTGATTGAGATGAGCCACAGTACATAATCGCTACAGCCACTCAATAGTTGATTACGTAGGTATACCATTGTTAAAATGACTGAACATTTTCTAACAATAATTGAGTTTACCTTCTAGTGGTTTTGAACAACATCTGTTTTTTCATGTATTAAAATGGGATCATCATTCCCTTTTTCCCACAATATATCATTGGGCTTTATCTCCTGTTGAGAAGTATCATTTAAAATGGTAAGTGAGAGACTATGCAGAGTAAGGTGGAGAGGTTTCCTTCAGTGCTTCTAATAACAGTTTTGAAAACTGAATGAATTTCATATTTTCAAACTCAATATTTTTATTTTGAAAGTTCACATTAATATATACTTCGTAAAAATTTACAAAGGGCAGTGTTACTCAATCCATGACTCAAATAAAACACATTGCTTTATGCTGGCTGGCAAAGAGAGCGAAGAAGCAAGACATCACTGCTTTCTGTTAGCAGGTGAAATTAGAATTTTTGAGAAACTGCATGTCTTATCTGTTGGAACTCCATCCTTTAACATGAGATGTTGGGTAAACTGCTTTCTGTTGTTACATGCAACAGTCTCCTCATTTGATGAGCTGAGGTGGAGACAACCATCCATTTCTCACTCTGAGCCACAAGTTAAAGGGAATCTCTGTATGTGTTCATTTTAAACAGTCAGCAACCTGGAATTTCTCACAGAGTATTTATGTAAAGATAAAGTGACCAGAACAAAAGTTCATTATTATACTTAGGACTCTAGATATAACTCTAATATCAAGCAACTTCAAAGTGTGGGGAGGGCAAACAATCATTTGAAAGGCTAAAAGTTTGTACATTGGGTTTTAAATCTAATCTTAAATTTACCCTTCTATTTCTACAAGATCAATAGAAACTGATAATTAAAATATGTACAAATTAATGTTAATATAAAATTATTATATTTCCTTTAATACGGTGTTTCCAAAGTGTTTTGTATGTATCCTTGTAGATTTGTGAAATACTAGCTGGAGATGAGGGAGTATGGACTGATCTCTCAGTTGTACTCCCGAGTCCCATATTTCATTCTCAGTCCCAGATTTCATATTCCTTAAAAACAAATAAAGTTAGTTTCTGGCTGTTCTGGTTGCTAAGAAAACATTCAAAATGAGACATTTTTTAACATATGCAAGGATCTCTGCCTGAGTTTGCAGAGAGCCTGAAATGATAACTTTGAGCTGTGAACTGCCCTCAAATGCCAGTAATATTAGTTTAAATGTCAGCATTGTTAATAATGTTACTGCTTATTAAAACATGTAAGAAAGGAGAAAACTATGTATGAAAATCTGAGTGACTGCTAAACAACAAGCTCTTTCATCCTATCGCTAACTAATTTAAAAGTACATTGGGTTGTTTGGTATAAACAAGAAATTTCCACTTAGATGTAACAAATATAAAACAATCACTGGTAATTAATACTATTGAAAACTTGAAAATCTTCTTCCAGTTTAAATAATAAATAATTTTATGCAAACATTTCTTAACATCCCATATTGAATATACTTTTTGTTCTTTAAATAAAAATGTAAAGATGTATTTTAAGATGTAGCTTAATTTAATAAAAAAAATTAAATTATGGATATGTTTTTAACACATGGTAGGACTGAAGGGAGCACAATAGTTTTCATTTTCCTGAAACTTTCAGAAGTTTGACAAATGCTGTTTATTATTATAGATCAACAATTTGCATATTTCTGCATAACTGATAAGTCTGCACATAACACACATGAAGTCAAATAATACTTCCTGGAATTACTATCCGTGAAGTGATACTTAACGCTTTCCTTACAAGACTTCAAGCCCTTAGAAACAACAAGTGTAGCAGCAACTCCCTGCTGTTCACATTGAGAGAGCCTCTTTATGGGCTGGCATAGAGTCCACCCATGGTGCATAACCCCATCTGTCAATGTGTCAAAATAGCTTTTGTTAACACAGTCAGGAAACTGGACTCAATAGTATATAGTCATAATTAGTTATAATGAAACAATGTAACTTAATTTTTTTTTTACATTTTATTAAAAAAATGTCTTTTATGCTAAATTTTCATAGAATAATCTTGATTTTTTTTTAAACTTGCTTAATTTCATGAGTTTTGCCAACTTAATTTTTATTCATTGGGGGGGGGGGGAACCCTATAGATATTTTTTTCTTAGCTCTGGTATTACTGCTTGTCCTATTAGTGAATAATTCTCTGTGTAGATACCAGAACAGCTCATGGCCCCAGTTGAAGGGTGGAAGGATCCCAGAGCTCCAGCAGTGAAACAGTCCCACAGCCCAAGCCCTGTGAGCCTGAGTCGGCTGGTATGGGCCAGCCATGAGATTTTCTTTGCTGTGTAGACATACCATAAGAGGTCGGGGCAAAGCATCTGCTACTGTGTGGATTCTCCCTTCCCACTTCATCATTGGGGAGTGCCACTACTGGAATACTGCATCCAGTTCTGCTGTTTACATTTTAAAAAGGATGTTGAAAAATTGAAGAGGGTGCAGAGAAGAGAGAGAAACAATTTTGAGGCCTGGAAAAGTGCCTTACTGTGAAAGACTTGATCTCAATCTGGTTAATTTATCATAAGAAAATGAGAGGTGATAGGAGGTGTAGGTGGGTAAGTTTTTTTGTGCAGGAGGTCAGATTACATGATCCTGATGGTCCCTTCTGACCTTAAAGTCTATGATTAGTGTATAAGTATTTTCTCAGGGAGACTATAAAGCACTACAGGGCTCTTTAATGTAGCAGAGAAAGGCAGAACAAGAACCAATGGCTGGAAGTTAAAGCCAGACAAATACAAATTAGAAATAAGGTACACATTTTTAACAGTGGAGGTTCATTGGGACAAATGAAGTGGAGGGTTCTCCGGCTTTTGATGTTTTTTAAATCAAGACTGGATGCCTTATGTGTTTAATCAAATACAAGTTATTGGGCTCAGTACAGGGGTAAGTGAGAGAAATTCTATGGCCATTTTATCCATGGGGCAGACTAGAAAGCCTAATGGTTCCCTCTGACCTTAATATATGAATATAATGCTGTAAGACTGAGAGGCTACCGTCACCGCTCTGAATACTTGAAGATGGCGGACTTCTTCATTATCTTCCCTTTGTGGAATTCTCCAACAACAACTCTTATTACTCAGGCTGGGCTCTGAGAGGATTTTTTTTTTTTTTTTTTACATAAGTGCCTGCCTATCGATTTATTCTAGGTCGTCATCCCCCCCCCCCCCCGCCCCACACACACATATCAAAGTGAAATTAACTGGACTTGTTTATCAATTACATAGGTTTTTCTCTAGTCCTCTGGCAATCACATTTGTTCTCCACAAACTTTGTCATATGATCTCTAGCAGTTTCAAATTTTCATCCACTTGTTAGTTTCTTTAGAAATTGTAGGTAAATGTTAAATGGCTTTGCTGACATGAGTGGGAGGGTGCATAGCTCACATGGTGACTTGAATATTTAGCCTCAAGTACAAAACGATCTTATTTGAAAAGTTTGCTTGTGTAGATATTTTCTAAAATACTACTGACTTATAAATATGAAATGGAGTTTAAAAATGTCTTTCAGCCAATGGTAATGACAACAAGAAATTCAAAGCAGAGGATAAAATGGATGGAGCTCCTTCTCGTGTTCTTCATATCAGGAAATTGCCTGGTGAAGTGACAGAAACAGAAGTTATTGCTTTAGGCTTACCTTTTGGTAAGGTAACCAACATCCTGATGCTAAAAGGAAAAAATCAGGTATTCTTCTTGTTTCAGGGTTCCATTTATAGTACAGTGACTAAGTATTTTCTCATTCCAGATATACTGGTAAAATCTTACTGAGATTAATCCAGATGTAAATAATTTAAAATGAAAAACCTTGCATTCTTTCAGTTTGTACTCCTCTTCCATGTGCTCCATACTATTTCTAGTCTATTTTGTGTTAGAAAGCCGTAAAAGACTAATAGTTCAGAGCAGATGACACTCAAAATATATGGCTTTCAAGCTAACCATTTAGGCCAGCCTCTTCAAAGGTATCATTTTATGTGCACAAACCCCAGTTTGCTAAACTGGGCAGACATAAAATGATGTCTTTGAAGATATGGGCTTTATTTGCCAACTACTGACCCATTCCAGAGAAGTGGGGGGTTTGGTTTTTTGTTGTTGTGTTGGTTTTTTTATTTTTTTTTTTGTTTTTGTTTTTGTTTTGTTTTGGTTTTTTTTGGCAAAACATGAAAACTAGAAATCTTATCAAATCCCTGCATTATGTGAATGTGTTTTATTCTAGCAATACAAAGTGTAGTGTGTAAATACTATTTTTTTTTTTTTTAATTCTTACATTTTAGGCTTTTTTGGAGCTGGCAACAGAAGAAGCAGCTATCACTATGGTTAATTACTATTCTGCTGTGACACCTCATCTTCGTAACCAACCCATCTATATTCAGTACTCCAATCATAAAGAGCTAAAGACTGATAATACACTAAACCAGGTATATTTACTGTTATGGATTATAACAAATGCATAGAATAGCAAATTAAGTTTAGCATACATTCAACTATACACTATGTAGTCATGAATATATTTTTGTATAAACTAAACTTTATTTCTGATAGCTGCAGTTTATTGTGATATTATAAAAGACACAGTTTGGAATTGTACACGTTGCAATTATATGTTAGAATTTTATTCATGTATTTCATGGTTAATTGTTTCTAATTAAATTTGAATTTTTTCATAAAATAAGTCTTAATATTGATTCTTGGTTTAGAAGTTACATAACTAAAACTTTGTTTCTTGGTTCTGGCATTTGAGAGTTCAGTACCATATGGAATTGCCCTAACACTAATGCAGAATCCTACTTCCAGTGTTTTGAATCATAAATTCAATAGTTTTATTAACCTCAGTTTGTTTAGTCTGCTCTTCCCACTGTACAATTTCTGAAGAAAAATGCATTAACGATCACCCTGGGAAAAATGTATTCAGTAACTGAGAATTTTGTTGTTTGATCTTGGATGTGTGTAGAACCTATTATTCTTTCAAAACAGTTGTAATGCACTTTTTTAATAGAACAGGGAACTGTTTCAAAGATAACGTAACGGGCAGTAAAGGTCTTCCTAGTATTTGAGGTTGCTGTAACCTACAAAGAATGGGGAAAAGAAGCATTGACCCTTCGTTGTTCAAATGCTAATATCTTCATGTTCATTTCTTGTGTTCCCTTTTCGATCAGACTAATGCTGTCTGTTGTGACAATCTACAATTTCTGTTACTCTCTTGTCATACTTAAGTCCTTTTTGATATAATAGTGTGTTAATAGCAAATTTATTTTTTTAATTATGTTTTTAAGAGAAGTTTTCTGGAAACTTCCCTGCTTGATAGTTTTGCTTTCTGCTAAAATTAAGTTTGGTATTAATTTCCCTGCCTGGCACTACAAACATACTAGATCTTTTGGATCTCTGAGTATTCTCCTACGCATTAAAGAAATATTTTAGATTGTAAGTATAAAAAGTGCCAGCTGTAAGAAATGAGTACTTAAAGGTAAATAGAATGAAGTTTGTAAAGGGAATGATAAAACATTACGCCAGCATGGGCAATATGTGGTGGATTCATGTACAACTTTAAACAGCAGGAACACTATCAGTCATGTATTTGCCTTTCATTTTCTTTGGGGTCCTGTGGCAATGTCCTGCCTGCTTCAGTCAACCGTCTTCTGTTCTGATGTGATGCTGTCAGCCTTTTGGCGTATCCTTGCTTCCATACCATCTTTGTTTTAGCACTAAGTTGGCTCAGTTTTGTAAGCACCCTTTATAATAAATTAATTGACAGTACAATGCTGTAAATATTCTGTGACATCACCAGCATGATGGAGCAATATACAGAGCAGGAGCCAGTTGGGGATGGACATTGTCGTACCTGCTGGGAAAACTAAAAAGGAGTTGTTGATGGGTCATGTGCAGATTATCCTATTAAGTCTGGTCTGGTGGGGAATTCACCACATAATTTTGTTACCCAAATTTGTAGGTTACATTTGAAAGCTAGGCAGTTTCATTTTTAAAATGGTCCTTTCCTTACATTCACGACAGAGAAATGCAAAGAAAATGAGAGGATCAGTAGATTCATTGCAGAGATAAAATAGGAGAAAAGTACAAATGGTTAAGCTAAAGGGAGGAGAGAAGGAGCTGTAATTAGAAAAGGTAGGGTACCTTAAACAGCCAAGTTTTGAACTTTGAAAGTAAAAACAAGTTGCCTTTATGACTCTGTGTGAATTTCCCATGATTGGTTGTCAGCAACATGGTTATCTATGGAAAAAGTATAATCACAATAGGTTTATGTCTGACTAAAAGAACAGATTTAAAAGTCATTTGAATGTTTCATGTCATTTTAATAATTTTGTAAAGATATTTTGTCCTAAAAGACATGTAAACACAACAACAAAATAACATTAAAGTTCGGATTTAAAACAAACATTTTTTACCTTGTGTGCTGCAGTACCTAGGCACAACTAGGTGAGTTAAGAACAGAATGACTGCCATAACTGTGAATCTCCTTGATTGTCAGTTTGTCAGAATGAAATGTTTTAATATAGACTTTGTATTTTTATAGGCTTATGTATTATGATGTTCCTAGGATCATAAGGTGAAATAGTCAAATGTGGTAGAATAATATGAAACTTTAAAATAAATCAATTTTATGTAATACTTCATAAGTTAAATATGCAGCTGATTTTGCCTATTCCAACATTACATTTTTCTCAAACACCTTCAAAAGAAGGGTTTCTATAAAAATATTAACTGAATTTTTTCCTCCTCCAAAACAATCTGTTGCTCTTGTAATTTCTAAGCTGTAGGCGCTACAGTACAAATGCTCATTCCAACAATCATGCTTGCTCTGGTATGCAGTCCAGTTGACCTTAGTGGAATTAAATGTAAGGAATAAGCACACACTGAAAAAAGAGTGTTTTCAGGCTCTGATGTAGAAAGCCAGAGCAGACAAATCCTATCTTACTTGAATAGTCCTGATTGAGCTCACTTGTGTGAGTAAGAGTTTGTTGTACAGCCTAAGGACCAGAACTTGCAAAAACTTCTTCCCAGGTTACCCTAAGACATAAATTTTAATTGGCACATTACTATTTGTTTAAAAAATAGACTGAAACAATGAAGTAACTCAGCCAAATGTTTGAGTGGCGTAAAAGTGAGGTGTGTTTCATGTGTTTTTAAAAAGAAATTAACATTGTCTTCAAAATACTTTTGTCAGAGTAGCATTAACTAATGCTTGACATGATACAGTAAACTTTCTTGTCCCAAGTAGTGTTCACCAGGTCTTTTTTTCTTACTTTCCTTATTCCTTATTCCTTAATTCGTTTCATTGTGAGTTGTGGGATCTGCAGTTGTGTATTGTCTCTGGTAATACCTTTAGATTATGCACTATGCATTCATATGTTGGTGATTGATTATGATTTTTACCTGGCATGCACACTTTTGTCTTTTCTGTTGTGTATTGTTTTACCTCTTAAAGGTACTGTAAAAAAACATGAAATGAAAACCCTCTTTTTTGCATTTTTTCCTCAGAAAATCATCTAACCCTTTTAAAATTTGATCAGTTGGCAATAGAAGTAGTTATGTAGACATGTGCTCATGTGTTGATACTATGTGATTATCCGAGGAATTTTTAAAACTGTGCTTGTTGCTTTAAAAAACTCTTGGGATTTTTGTTTTTTAAAGAGGTTGGATAATACAGACTGCAAGTAGTTTGCTCATCTGTGACCACTTTGTTCTGACTGTTCTCAGTTACTGTGTATTATTTCATTAAAACAGAAATCGGAATATTTTAGAAGTACCATACTTGCATTATCTTTTCCTATCAGAACTTTTTGCTTTGTTTTGATTAACTTTAATATGAATATTGGAAATATTTTTTTTTATAAAATTCTTTTATTCAGTAAATCACATTTTGATTCTGTAGTTTTTGTTTTTTGTTGTTGTTTTACTCCTCATTGTAACCTGTGGAAATATTCTTCTGAAATCCCCCAAAAGCTCACTTTTTTCCTACTAGTAGAGCCATACTTGCTACTAGAAAGGCCAGTTATTGGCTTCATTTGAAGCCTCTTCCTGTTGTTCAGTAAGAACCAATCATTATTTTCAGTATTACTGCCTTCACCCCGATGGTAGATTATGGTGGTTTCCATTATGCTACCCTAATTTGGCATTGCACTTTATTGTCTAGATCTAGTAGATAGTTTAGTTTTGCTGCCATACCACTGAAGGAATATCTAAAATGTTTATCATTCTATTGTTACGTCAGTAGGTATATTTTTAAAGAGGTGAACTTTTATTGTGCCAAAGGTAACTAAATATTTGTTAGCAGTAACAATATGAATATATCAATAAGCTTCTGAACCTTTTTTCTTGAAATACTTTCTTTATAATACGTATTTTTTCTTTTTATTTAGCGGGCTCAAGCTGTTCTTCAGGCAGTGACCGCAGTACAGACAACAAATACTCCCATTAGTGGAACTACTGTTAGTGAGAGTGCAGTGACTCCAGCTCAGAGTCCAGTACTTAGAATAATTATTGACAACATGTACTACCCTGTAACCCTGGATGTTCTTCACCAAGTAAGCCAGTTGTCTGTGTAACTTTTTAGTTTATATGATTTGTAATAAATTTCGATACATATAGTCTTGTTATTTTTGACAGATATTCTCTAAATTTGGTGCTGTATTGAAGATAATCACATTCACAAAGAATAACCAATTTCAAGCTTTACTGCAATATGGTGATCCAATAAATGCACAGCAAGCAAAACTGGTAAGTACAAAATTACTTTTGGGCTATTGAGTTATCCTGTGGTGATGGAATTATTATTTGTGCATGGTATTACCATGACACTGATTTAACCATACATTCCTTTATTAAACCTGAAGGCCAAATGGTATTTATACAATTGCTCTAAACTTGCCTAAAAAGCATAAATAATAAGCTATTTACTACATCCAAACAGTAACAAAACATTTATAAGTATCTGAGCAAAATATGTACAAACGGGCTAAACCCCATGGTGCTTACATCCATATTGGTTCCAACATGGTCATTTAGCAATGAACCCTTTAAGAGGTGTGTTTGTTTGTTTTTTAAATACCCTTCAACAAACAGGTAAAATCATTGCCAATTACTAACTTCAGATAAAGAACAGTTTGAGACAATTCATCCTTAGTTCTAGTCTTAATCCACATAAGATTTACGACCTCCTTTCTTCCCAAGTCCGTCCTTTCCCTCCTTGCTGATGAGCAGTTTTTCCATTGTATCCGGGTTCATGTAGGCTTTAACACTGGTATGCATGGTGGGAAGGCTTATGCTGGCTTCTTTTAAGACAGATTCCTTTTGTCTTATTTAAAACCATCTGCAGTCCCCCCTAAACATCAGAGGCCTTGTTTTTAGAGACTTCCACTTATCTTATTAGTTGTTCTTTGAACAGGACATCTTCTCTACTTCATTCCTTCTGGCCTTATAATTTAGTATTTTCAAGGCCTGCCTTCAGCTTGCTAGTCAGGGCCTTTCTTTACTACACATGTATTTCTTTAACCAAACTTAAGCTAACCCTGATTCTTTAATTTCATATTTATCCTGTGTGGCTTACAAGAGATATTTGAAAAAAGTGTTAGTATAAGACGTTGCTAATCTAGTAATGTCCTAAACTCTTCCACTGCTTTTTAAAGAGAGTAATCTTCTTCATACAGAGATGACGTATACCCTAATAATTGTTGTTTTGTCTGTTGTGGTAGCACCTATAGGGCCCAATCTGATATCGGGACCTCACTGTGTAAGTAAAATGAATAAGTACAGTTTTTAGTGTTAAAGTATTGGGTTAAAAAAAATCCTTTAAAAAGCCAAAATCTGTCTTGAGCAACACAGACTGTGCCAGCTAAATTGAAAATTGACTGGAAAGGAGACAAAAGAGAACAAGAAATGACTTGTCCCTATTTAAAGACATTTGAAGTACATTAGAAGTGAGAAGACTGTTTGACTAGGCCTTCTAAAAAAAACTAGTGGGCTGCATGGGGGTCAGTTGAAAAGCATGATGAGATAGTGAAGTTGTTAAATGATTTTTCCATCATTCTTACTATAGAAGATAATGGGAAATTAATTTTCCAGTGGCAGACTTCAAAGGAAATGAGAATGTGACCTTAAGAGAAATTGAAGACTTAGTAAGGAAGTTAAAGAGCAATTTGAAAAACTTAAGTGATGTAAGTACTTGGAAGAGATGGTATTTATCTGAGTGTTCTGAAGAAAATAGTGAGATATTAACAAGGATGCGTGCTATGAAGCCTCTGGCCCGATGGAACTTCACTCATTCAGATAGATAGCATAAATAGTGAAAAATGCATTCACCTACCACTTGTTTTCCTGGAAAATGTCACTTCCTCTTCGAATAGATTCTGGACATGCTGATCTATGTTTTTATCACCGCCTCTGGTTTGGATCATGGTATCTGCAAATGAAGTGAAGATAGCACAAACTTTACCTTGAGCAGAATGCAGGAAGCTATGTCTGGGCAGAGATAAAAAACACTGAGACAAGACTCTGGTGTACTCTAAACTATCATGCCTCTTTTAGAGGAAGACTTCTGGACCTTGCAGATGCCTTTCAGATGCTGACATGCACAAAGTGATACTTTTCAGTCACAAACATTGTCTGAGGGGACGTTTACACTGCAGCTGACTCAGGGTCATGGGACTTGGGGCTAAGGGGCTGCTTAATTGCAATGTAGATGTTTGTGCTCAGGCGGTAGCCTGGGCTCTGGAACCCTGTAACGGGGGAGGGACCCAGAGCTTGGGTTTCAGCCAAGCCCAAATGTCTGTGCCACAGTTAAAGAGCCCTTTAGCCTGAGGACGAGTCAGATGGCACGGCCAGCTGGGGGAATCCAATTGCAGTGTAGAAATACCCTTACATTTATAGAGGAACAGCATTGCCAGTTCTCTATATTGGCATTGAGACTTGTATGAGTATTCCATATTTTAATGACAGTAGTCAGGGCCTACCTGGAGCCAGGCTGGAGTTCATATGTCTCCCTTTCCGGATGATGGGCTAATTCAAGGATACTGCCATGTACGACCCCCAAAAATAGTTTGTCAACACCATGGTTCTGGCATCCCTATCTGAATTCTTAAGTCCCAGGTTGTCCCTCAGAGACCTATTGAGGACATCATATGTCTAGTAAAGATTATTTGTCATAGCTGGTCATTTTGAACCAAACTTATGAGTGTTATGGTTGTCCCTAGCTGTATACATAGTGCTTATGACATATCTCCATATGGATAACCTCATTAAAACCTAAATCGTAGTGGAAGCAAGTTCCAGAGGGACTTTCCCATCCCATCTGAATAACTTCAGGGCAACTTTGCCCTGATGATAGTCTATGGATCTTCTTCTGCTAGAACTAGACTTCCAGTTTTAACTAATGTAATTTTATAATGGGTAAGAGATGTCACCATGGAATGGACTAAGGATTTTCAGACATTCAGAATCCTAAAGGTGATCTTTTTTTAAATAGGCTATTATTTCTGTATAAGCGAGCAAGGAGCTCTGGATTGCAGCTCCTGTGTCAGGAAGCATAGTAGATGCAAAAGCAGGCTTTGTCTTGGATTTCTCATTTTCGTGGAGAAGAACATGTGCTACAAGTGGTTCCTGGATCAAGGATTTCTCCATATGATACCAGTAGATGACCATATTTGCCATCATCAGTACCTGTGCTCTCCACCAGTACTAGGAAAGATTCTGCCTAACGTCAAGAGATAAGATTTCAGTATTCTTGAAGGTGCCCCACACTGCCCCAAGCAGTTTCAGTTTTCATGTCTGCTGCAAGGGGTCATCATGTTCTCTTTGCCTCACTCCTGGCAAGAAGGAACTCCTAAGATTCAGTGTTCTGAGCTGTAGCTCACGAAAGCTTATGCTCAAATAAATTGGTTAGTCTCTAAGGTGCCACAAGTACTCCTTTTCTTTTTGTGAATACAGACTAACACGGCTGTTACTCTGAAACTATGCTTCAAGTTGTTCTTACGCTTTCAGGTGGTGGCAGGAGGAATTACAGTTCTAAGTTGAAAATACAAACAAGCACATATGGATGCTTTCAAATACCCTCCATACATGCCTGACTACCTTTATCTTTCTGGATTAAAGTCTAGTTGTATTTCTCTTAATATGACAACTCTTTCTGCCCATTGTAAGCCAGTTGAAGGAAATCTATCTGCAACCCATAGTCGTCAGATTAATATAAGGCTTTACACATTTGACACTCCTTCTCCCTCCCTCCCCCCTTTTTTTTTGTGTGTGGGGCATATTACTGTGGTTTGGACATAGCTAATGATAGCTGTTTCTCTGTCTGTGAGATCAAGATTTTAATTTTTTTATGTGGAAGGTAACTTTCCTGGTGGCAGTGGCATTCGCTTGCTAAGTGGGTAAGCTTTCAGCTGTAATGACTGGATCTACCTTATACCAAATATCAAGAGGTACAGTTGGTATTGCTAGTTCATCCAATATTTCTTCCAAAGATGGGGACTGAATTCCTCCCTGTTGAGCCAATCATTCTCCTGGCACTTTTTCTGTATATGCCTGTCTGTTTTAGTGAGGTCTTTCTCCACAAGCCACATTAGAAGGCTTTTGGGATTCTATGTGTAGCAGACAAAATTTCTATCACAGGTACCATATCTAAATGGCTGGCAGACTGCATTTCCTATTGCTGTCATCAGGCAGGCCTGCAGCCCACCCCTTTCACAGTTTGTACAATGTGAGGCAAGGCTGTTTCTGATGCCAGCCTGAGTCTGTTTTTAATTTGACATGTAAAGCAGCCATATTGCAGCAGCCTTCATACAAAGCGTTGTTGCCTAGATTCAGCTTCAGTGGATGGAGTTTCCGTTTGGTCCCTCATTGCTGTTGAGCCAATGCCCAAACTCTCTCACCCTCTATTAGTTTTGTTTTTCTTCAGGCATCTTATATTTGAATTGGCCAGTTTTTCAAAGTTAGAATATTGGTCATTTGTCTTTTTTTGTGCAGTGCCTGTTACAGTATTAATTCTTTCATTCTGAGACATCCATTTATTCAGAGTGAGAATCCTATGGGGATAATGCCTTTTCAAAGGGGGAAGAGAGTGTGTATCTCTCTTATTGGGGTTTTTTTTTCCTAAGAAATTTTTTTAGCAGTTTTTTGCGGTTAATTTTTTTACAACTGTGACTAATTTGAGAGGTCTTGATTTATCCTCCATAATTAGAGAGCTGAGTAGACGATTCTAGGAACTGAGGTAATGGTAGTTTGTTGGACCATGATCAGTGAGAAGGGCTTAGGTGGATAGTCCTGCTACTGCAGCCTTTGAGCACTCAAAAGCTTTGAACTTGGGGAAATTCTGCCTTATCTTGTGCTGGGAGCAGAAGATCCAAGAGTAAGAATTCTGTGAAATAATAGTTAAAAAAAAGAAGAATTCCAGGTGAGTAATTTTTCATTGTTAATATCCACTGTGCTATCAATCTAAATGAGAATTTGAAATGATCTCATTCTTTGTTTATAGGAAAATTTCAATGCATAATTATTTCAACTAGTTATTAAAAAATGAAACTTGAAACAAGAATTAAGAAACAGGCATCTGTCAACTGGACTATCATGTGACATAGATTTCAACACAGTATTTGAATGTAGCCTTCTGTGTTTGTATGCAAGATAATTTGTATTTAATAGAATCACGTATTAATTGTATATTGGTTTAATATGAGCACAATTTTTTCCAAACAAATAATAAAACTTAATCAGCTGTGAAAACC